ACTGGGTATCTATCCTAAGAACCTGAAATCAGCAATTCCAAAAGTTTCATGCACCCCTATGTTCATTGCAGCATTATTCACAATAGCCAAGTCATGGAACCAACCTAAGTGCCCAGCAACTGATAATTGGATAAAGAAGATGTGGTATATATATACAATGGAATACTACTCAGCCATAAAAAAGGACAAAGTCGTCCCATTCACAACAACATGGATAGACCTTGAGGGTGTTACGTTGAGTGAAATAAGCCAGATAGAGAAAGACGAACTCTGTATGACTCCACTCATAGGTGGTAGTTGACATATGGACACAGAGAACTGATTGGTGGTTGCCAGGGGAAAGGGGGGTGAGGGGAGGGCACTAGGGGTGAAGTGGTGTACCTACAACATGACTAATAATGATGTACAACTGTAATTTCACAAGGATGTTAACTTTCATAACCTTAATAAAAAAGAAAATGGGCAGGGGACATGAACAGACATTTCTCCAAAGAAGATATACGGATGGCCAATAGACACATGAAAAGATGCCCATCATCACTAATCATCAGGGAAATGCAAATCAAAACTACACTAAGATATCATCTTACACCTGTTAGAATGGCAAAAATAACCAAAACAAAAAGTGACAAATGTTGGAGAGGTTGTGGAGAAAAAGGAATCCTCATACACTGTTGGTGGGAATGCAAACTAGTGCAGCCACTATGGAAAACAGTATGGAGATTTCTCAAAAAATTAAAAATAGAAATACCTTATGACCCAGCCATCCCACTACTGGGTATCTATTCCAAAGAACTTGAAATCAGCAATTCCAAAAGTCCCATGCATCCCTATGTTCATCGCAGCATTATTCACAATAGCCAAGATGTGGAAGCAACCTAGGTGCCCATCAAGTGATGATTGGATAAAGAAGATATGGTGTATATATATACAATGGAATACTACTCAGCCATAAAAAAGGATAAAATCATCCCATTCACAACAACATGGATGGACCTTGAGGGTATTATGTTAAGTGAAATAAGCCAGATAGAGAAAGACGAACTCTGTATGACTCCACTCATAGGTGGAAGTTAAACTTAGAGACACAAAGAACTGATTGGTGGTTACCAGGGGAAAGGGCGGGGTGGGAGAGGGCACAAAGGGTGAAGTGGTGCACCTACAACATGCCTAACAATAATGTACAACTGAAATTTCACAAGGTTGTAAACTATCATAATCTTAATAAAAAGTTAAAAAAAATAAAAAATAAAATAAACCAAACCAAACCAAAACATTACCAATGGTGGGTACCCGACCTTGAACTTAACTATTGCAGGAATAAGATGGGGGCTGGAGTTGGGCGGGGATGAGGAAGTAAGCCATAGCAGCTGAGAACTGAAGAGTTCCTGTGGTCATCATGCTGAGACGGAAGTTCCCAAGTGGCTATTCACAGGAGTCAGGGCCTGCTATAGGTACAAGAAGAGTGCAGAAAAGGGACAAAGCAGTGTGGGCAGGACTCTCGAGAGCAAAAAGGAAATAGAATTTAAGGTCAGCTTGAAAGAGGTAAGATTTAGTTGGCTTGAGGGACAAGTAAAGAGAAACGAGAATTTAAGTCAAGGAAAAGGCATGAATAAGGACGGTGATATGGAAAAGAGCAAGCATATTGTACATGGAGTAGCAGAGGAGCGACAGGATGCTGTGTTTAAGGGAGACTGATCTGAAGGCAGTGTGAGAACTACAGTGTGGAGGCTGCTGCAGTAATTTAGGTTTGAGTGGGTCTGGTCCTTGACAGGAGGTGTGGCAGTGGAGCCAAAAAACAAGAGAAACAAAGGAAAAAAGGAGGGCAGGAAGGGTGTTAGGGTTAGAGAACGAGATCTGGAAGATATCTGATAGGTTTCAACTGAGACTGACTGTGTGTGCCCACTATTTGAGGAGTACAGAGAAGGTTCCAGACCAGATACCAAAGCCCAGGGGAAAATGAGTTAGGGCAAAGCAGGAAAGGAAGCCAGAGAAGAAGCAGAGCAGCTGTCAAAATGATTTAAGAAGAAAGAAAAAAGTCTAGCACTATGGACCACCAGGGAAGAGATGCTTCGAAGACAACAATGGTTAACAAAACCAGATCCAGGAGAGATGTCAAAAGAGGTAAGAACTGAGGCGAGGTCACAGAACTTGGCTACATTACAGGAAACCTACAGGAGAATACTTTCAGTAAAGTGAACATGAAAACCAGATTGTCGGTGGTTAAGAGGAGCACAGGGAAATAGGGGAAAGAGAGAAAGACCTACTCAGGTCAAGAAGCAAGAGGAAGGCCAGAGATGATAAGAGGGTGAACCAAAGAGGTGGCTGAGTGAAATGGAAGGATTTTAATTTATTTTTAACAAATGAAGAACTAAGTATATTTAATGTAAACACTGTTTTAAATCCCATGGAGAACAAGAGGATGCTAGAAAGAGAGAAGATAACATGAGATTCCTGAGGAAATGCAGTAGAAGTAGCCTTAGAGAGGAGGAAATAAAAATCTTCCTTGATAACAGGAGGGAAGGAAGAAAGTCTAAAGTCAATGCTGTGTCTGGTGTACACGAGGAGAGTAGTGGGAAATAAGAGAGAGGGAAGCTGGGCAGCCCAGTGAAAACCTTGGGATGGGGAGTTTGGATATCATACTACAGCTAAAGGTGAGCTATGGAAAGGCTAATCAGGTAGTCTGAAAGCATCATTTGAAAAAAATAATAGTCTGATGTCAGAATATAGAATATGTTCGGGTAGGGGGAAGCAGATGTTGGGAGAGGGAAGAGTGGAGATAGAGAGTCCAGTTTAAGAGTTTTTTCCAAGAGAATTTCACACCGTCCAGGCATTGTGACTATAAACCATCTTCCTTTTTCTTCTTTCCACCCTAGAGTAATTTCTAGGGGAGCTCTGAAAATATGTGTGTTCAGCTATAACGGAACATCAGCTAGACTTTGGTCTCATGGCAGTGACATATAATGGCTCAATTAGGGCATAAAGAGGCAATCTCAATATCCATTTAGAGACTCATAAAGCTCACAGGAGCTACAGGAAAACAGCTATAAGCACTTCTTTTCTCTCATAAAAGGATAGAACTGCTCCTTTAAGCCCATGAGATGCTCATTCTCCTATTTGGCCACCATTCACTGAAATCTTGATTCTGCCTTAAGTTACATATATCATATAAATATTTTTGTCTTTTATTTATTTATTTATTTAGAGGAAGACTAGCCCTGAACTAACAGCTGCCGCCAATCCTCCTCTTTTTGCTGAGGAAGACTGGCCCTGAGCTAACATCCGTGCCCATCTTCCTCTACTTTGTATGTGGGACGCCTACTGCAGCATGGCTTGCCAAGAAGTGCCATGTCTGCACCCAGGATCAGAACCACAAACCCTGGGCCGCCGAAGTGGAACGTGCGAACTTAACCGCTGTGCCACTGGGCAGGCCCCTTTCCTCTTTTTTTTAAAGATTGGCACCTGAGCTAACAACTGTTGCCAATTTTTTTTTTCTTCTCCCCCGCAAAGCTCCCTGGTACATAGTTGTATATTCTAGTTGTGAGTGCCTTTGGCTGTGTTATGTGGGACGCTGCCTCAGCATGGCTTGATGAGCAGTGTCACGTCTGCACCCGGGATCTGAACTGGCGAAACCCTGGGCTGCTGAAGCGGAGTACACGAACTTAACCACTCAGCCACAGGGCCAGCCCCATATAAATATTTTTTGAGGCATAATTTTTGGATGCTGAGGAGCTATGGTCAAGATATTGTCCAGGGGCCGGCCCTGTGGCCAAGTGGTTAAGTTCACGAGCTCCACTTCGGTGGCCCAGGGTTTTGCCGGTCACCGGTTCAGATCCTGGGCACGGATATGGCACCACTCGTCAGGCCATGCTGAGGTGGCATCCTACATGCCACAACTAGAAGGACCTACAACTAGAATATACAACTATGTACTGGGGAGCTTTGGGGAGCAGAAGGAAAAACAAAATCTTTAAAAAAAAAAAAAGATGTTGTTTAGATTAACCACAACATATTAGACCAGATTCTGACGGGTAACTAAGTATTTTCTTCCACACTAAAATAAGGATGAACAAAAGTGGTACAAAAAATATGCTATTTTATAAGCTTCTGTTATGGAAGATTTTTTTCCTAATTATAGTACTACCAAAATTTGAAGGATTTAAAAAAAAATTCCCTTGCCTATTAAAAGCTCTAACCTGATATTTATATCTTATGGATGAACATGGAGTTCACGCTAAATAAGTAACTCAATCTGAAGACTTGAAAACAGAGGCAGTGAGGGACAGACGCAGGTTCCAGCGTGTCCTTCTGGTTTCCAGTTTGTCCCTGGCTCTCCTTCACTGTCCAGCTTTTCTTTCTGAGCATCAGATCTGTGAATCTTCAGCAATTTCAGGCCCACAACAGCCTTTTGTAGAATTCTTCACATGCTCTCACAATTGTATGAGGACTAATCCTTATACTAAATCCCAAGTGGTTCAGCTTCTCTCTTCCAGCCTTGATACATCCATCTTGCCATTTTACTTAACAAATAATAATAAAATGTCTTACTACAATTGAGACTACAGAGTTGCTCAACTACACATGCCTACTAGGGAGAACAAAGATAACCTCCTTATCACAATTTCCATGACCAGTAAGTATGATGGCAGTGTGCAGGCCAACACTTAAAGCCAACAATTGTGCAACCACATAACTGAGTAGAGAAGAAAAGGGCACAACGGTAACCTCATAAGAAGCCATAATGAGCGGTTCTTTATAAACAAAAATGATGGGATTGAGACATCATTTGTAAGGAATGCATTTTGATTTGCGACTCTTGTGAAGACAGGCTGGAACAGATCCACCCACATCTATGTCTCTCTCAACTCACACAAGGAGAAGAGAGTGCTGGTCTCCTCTCACAGCCACTAGTACTTCATTTATGAAAACTACATCTAGACTTTCAGGGGTACTTTTACTATCCCCCTCCCCCAATAGCATACCCATATTTATATATTCACCTGAAATTCATCCATGATACTGAATGTATACTCATGCCTGGCTACCACGTGATGACAATTCTTACAGAGATCTGCCAAAACAGAGAGATAATTAAACAGTTAAGCCTTGGAAGGTGTCTTAAGACAATAAAATTTATATTCTCAGCTTGATATTGCTTTAAAAGAATCTTAATCCTGTCATATTTAACACAGCAGAGAAATCCATTATAATATCTACCTGGATAAGAAATCCAGAATCTGTTACATAGCAACACTACATAATTAAGGGCCTGAACTCAGAGACTTAAGTGCATATATTAATTACCATTGAAAGTTCTCTAAGGTAATCAATTAACAGATATGTAAGTGTGTTTTTTAAACTAGCTGGACCTAGCTAACTATGTAAAAGCTTTTCTTCTCAGGAATGATAGAAATTATGCTACTATAAACAATAAAAAACAAAAGAATCTAGTGCAAACAATATGATAATAACTATAATTTATTGAGTGCTTACTGCATGCCAGATAATGTTTTAAATACTTTTAATCTATTCATTCACTTAATCTTCTCAAAACCCCAATGAGGTGCACACTATTGTTACCACCTTTTTAGGGATAAGGAAACACGGGTGCACTGTGGTTAAGTAGCTAGGAAGACCATCGAGCTAGCAAGTGTTGGAACCTGAATTCAAACCCAAGCATTCCAGTTCCAGAGCCCTTGCTCTTAAGCACGATGCCCTACTACCTGGAACAAAATAGAGTTTAAAGGGGTATATGCTAAAACAAAGAAGATGATTCTTCTCACATAGAACATTTTTTGACAGTCTGACTCTATTCTAAAGGCTTAGTGTCTTTCATACCCTCTTTCAAGATATCATTATTTGCACATTCATTCCTCATATATTCAGAACATACCAAAAAACCAGGAGACAAGTAGAAAGGGGCTGTGAACAGTTTAAATACTTGTCACTATACCTGGGCCCTAAAGCGTACATATACTTAATTTGCTCACAGAAATTCTTAGTGCCAACTTCAGAATTGATTTATTTTTACTATACGTGGTTTATTTATTTGGTTTCCCAGCATTGAGGAGGAGCAGCACATGAAGGTAGCATATTTACAGCAGCGAAACAAAGAAACAACAGACTGACAGTGAGATAGGAGACAAAAGAAGCTATAAAAGCAAAAACAAGACTAAAAGAACCATAGCATTCCAGTGACCTTTAGTATATGGGAAACAGCTTAAACACTTTAATGACTGTTGGAGAGTATTACTATAATATACTTCAGTAGAAAGCGAAAATTCACATGGACATCCCTAAAGTTAAAAAAAAATCTCTATATCTTGTTTCAGAAGGCATTAAAAATAAACAAAAAAAAATTGGTGCCTGAATCATAACCTTCAGTTGTCTGCAAAAGTCATTTATGAAAACTAACTGATAATGCTAGATAAATGGGTGTTATCTATATTTGCCTCTTAAAAACCTAACTAGTAACTATGTGTTGCACTGTGACATTGAAATAGGCCTCATAATGCTTTACACTATATCAACTTCCAAAACCTAACATCTGCTAACAAACTCACAAGGGAAGAAAAAGCCTACTTACGATCATAGGTAACTATTTCTTCTCCATCTTCCTCTTTCAAAGATTTGTTTGTGATCAGCATAAAATCCCGCTTATTGCATACTGCACAGCCTGTAAAGTTCAGCAAGAAAGATCCATTCTCCAGGCAGATGGTACCCTAAAATATTAAAAATAGGAATTTATTTTTCTTATATTTCAAAATCCTTGGTGAAAATGATTAATAGACTTAAAATCTCTAAAGGCAAAAATCATGGCCAGAATGTACTTGCTTGAAGGCTATACCAAGTCATTTTGGAAATTACTAGCTTTCTTCTAGAGGTATTATTTACGATAAATCAAACTGAAGCACTGCTAGAGCTGTGAGTCTCTGAGGACTGCAACTGTGTTTAAGAACGGATATTTAGATTATGCAAATGATATTTAGAAACAACTTAATGAAGCTTTAATAACATAAAACGTGAAAAGGAAAAACTAGAAAAATATAACAGCCAACAATATTAAATGAGGTCTATCATAAAACTAGAATTAAAATTCAATCAAAATGGAAACATTGAGCCAATGATAGAAATGATCTTGTACACCATGATGCTCAGTTGATTGTTGAAATAGCATTTTCTGAAGCCTTAAAGATACCACAAAATAAACAAAAATAAACCCTCAGCTCTACAGATGTCAGTCCTTAAGGATACATGTGATTGAGACAGAGAAGGTAAGCTCTGCAATTCATCAGAGTGACACGGTGCCTTTCAGGAGAGAAAGGGTTTTGCTTCGTCACTAAGAAACTGTAAATAATTCCCATTCCTGGCTTAAGGGAAGTCTTTGCTAGAGGCTTACTAATAACTGCTCTGAACTAAAAGTCATTTTATAAATAATCTAATTCAATCTCATTTCTGACCAATAAACTTAAGAATATTTTTAAAAATTAATGTCACTAAAAACCATTCAAATCAACCTTTCTCCAACGCAGCTATGTGCCTGAAACTGACCAAAGCACAGTGGAGGTTTCGAGGATGAGTCACGTTTCTGCCTTCAAGGAGCTTAAGAAGTATCAGGAGGGATTAAGACCCACCTTAAGGGATGCCACAGTGAAGCCTTCCTGGATTCCCAGCACCACAGTTAACCTCTCCCTTCTGAGTGCTCCTTAGTGCTAATGTATTAAGGAAGAGATTAGCTCTGGTGGGGGGAAATCAAGCTAACTATATAGTTTGGAGATACGAAACCATAGGCACATCGACTTAACTACTAAAAGCGGGGCAAAAAGGCTTAGGATTAAAGTATAAATCAGCTATTAAGAACAAGTGCTTTGCTTTGAAAAAAACCACTTTATTGAAGCACACTTTACATACAATAAAATTCACACATTGTAAGGGTATAGGTTAGGGACTTTGAACAAACCATATGCCAATATAAACACCACCTCAATCAAGATCTTCCCAGGATGTTCCTTCATGCTTTACAGCATTTTGACTATTCTATTCCCTTGATTTGTATATTTATCTTTGCACTAATGTCACACTCTCTTCATTGCTGTAGCTTTATAGTAAGTCTTTAAATCAGGCAGTTTATGTCCTATAACTTACTGAGTCTACGTTCTTTTTATTTCCATATATACTTTAGAATCATCTTATAAACTTTTACAAAAATGTCTGCTGGGGTTTGAATTGGGACTGCCTTGAATCTATAAAAGCTGATTACCAAGGACTCTAAGATATTAAGGAATGAAAAACAGTCAAAATAATAAAGATCTAAATACCAGTTGCAAGTAAACAGAACTCTGAACAAGACTGAACCCGTAAACATGGGTACCTTACACAATGTGGCCTAACCTCTCTGATCCGACCTTGTAAGTAGATAGGATGTAAACTCTAAGGAAATACTGAGATAAGAGAAAAGAGATCTATGTATCTGTTGTGAGATAAGGAAATAAGTACTTGAAATGGCAAAATGCAAGTACAGTATGTAAGAAACTGATACTTTCTGGTCATTTGAAAGCAGTGAGTCATGGTTCCTTTTTTTTTTGAGGAAGATTAGCTCTGAGCTAACAACTGTTGCCAATCCTCCTCTTTCGCTGAGGAAGACCGGCCCTGAGCTAACATCCGTGCCCATCTTTCTCTACTTTATATGTGGGATGCCTACCACAGCATGTCTTGCCAAGTAGTGCCATGTCTGCACCCGGGATCCGAACCGGAGAACCCGAGCTGCCGAAGCAGAACGTGTGCACTTAACCACTGCGCCACCAGGCCGGCCCCTAGTCATGGCTCTTTTATTAGATGAGGCAAGATTATTAATGCCCAAATTTGGGAAAGTAAGTTAAAGTATACAATATTCAGGGACACTTTTGAGGTTCCCACAATGGGAGGAAAGAGAAGAATGCAACCTAAATTAATTCCACAGTAATAATAGTAAGCTATAATAGTTTCAAGAAGGCAAGAAAAAAGTCAAATATTAAACACCCTTAGAAAATGTGATTCAGACAAATCCTGGTTGACGATTTGTAAAGGTAAGCAAGTGTACAAGAAGAAATGGTTGAATACTATGATGATAATTAGCATGACAGTACATTATGATAAAATCTTATAAATTTGAGAAACCTGCAATTATTTTGACAAGGATTGGACCAGTTTGCTTTTTCCAGAAAACTATTATTTCAGATGGTACAACAGTGTATATGTTTTGTCAGGGAATGTTTAAAATTAAAAATTGAGAATATAGTTCTTAAAGAACCAAATTTTAGTGTTGCTTATTTCCCCTATTGTTTTTCTATTTTATATCTCATTAATTTCTTCTCTAATCTTTATTATTTCCTTTGTTTTGCTTGCTTTGGGTTTAGTTTGCTCTTGTTTTTTTACTGTCTTACAAAGAAGGTTAAGTTACTGACACAAGATTTTCTTTTTAATATAGGCACTTAAAAATGCAGAATATCATTTTAAAGCATCATTTACATACAACTGTTTTACTAATTATATATCAAACTCAGCATTTAATTAAATATAGTTTAATGCTAAGCAATAATTTGAGTATAGCAACTTTAGTAGCTTAGTTTTAAGTGATGTATATAAAACATGTAATCTCTAATTTAAACATACCACTAATTCACACTGATCATTTCCTTCTGATTAATATAAAATTAATGATGTATTTTTGCATTGCTGCTGCATTACTAAGAAGTTTAAGGCTGAAAGTTGAACTATATGAAATACAGGTTCCATTTCCAGTTTGATGTGGAAAATGTTTTATTACAATTTTGTGCCTGATCAGTAATTTTAGAAAATGCAGTTGAGTTCTAGTTCCAAACAGTTTCCTAAATGCTTTTCTGAAAGAAAAAAAATAATTTGGTTCACAGTTGAGTAAAAAAATTGGGGTTCTGAAAATTAATATGGTTCATTTCCCATCTGATTCACGCTTGAGCTCAATTTCTCAGTGTAACCTACAAGCAAGCAGGCCAGAGCTCTGTTAGGAATTCATTACTGTGTATTCCTAGTCTGTGAAAAGCATCTATCACAAAATTCCAGAAAATTTTATGAAACCAAAGATAATTATATATTTATTACCTACCCATTTTTCACTTAGAGCTTTCCAACATGCTAATCCATTATTTCTTTCTGCCAGTTTTTGAATGAATGGACTATACTTGCAACCACCATCTTATTACCCTTTCCTTTGCTAAACTCAAGCAAAGTGGCTTCTGCTCTCACCGCCCTTAAAAATATCTCATGACTTAAAAAAATCCCAGAGTTGGAAGAATCCTTGAGATTTCAAATGGTTGGTTAGTCTCTATTGTCAATAACAGGAAGAGTTCAATTCCTCTAAGGGTTACCCACTTCACTTTTGAAAATCTGTTAGAAAGTTCTTTAATCTGATTCAAAGCCTACAACCCCATAACATCTACCCACTAATTATTTCTAAATCTGCCTTCTGAAATTCCAGAGAAAAATTTAATTCTTCCTCTTGACAGCCCTTTAATTATTCTACAACAGAACACAAACAGAGAAAAGTGCTTATGAAGGCACTTTCCTGGTTTTTCAATCACTCAATCCTTCACTCTTCCCTACACTTACTTTCACTTCCTAATTTATTCCTTGAAGCTCAGTCCTTGATTCTCCTTGATTCTCCACATTCTTTTCCGAAGAGAACAAATCCTTTCTATTTTGACACCTTTATTTGGCTGGCTCATCTGTTTGAATCTCACACCCAAACTGCAATCTTGTATTTTCACTTGACTCCTCATATGTTACATTCTCAACCTCGAATGAAACACGGTGAAAACAATTTGACCACTTATCCTCCAATTGGCTCTTCCTCCCATATGCCTCCAATTTCTGTAATGATACTTCCAATTTCCAGTTGCCTAGACTGAAAACCCTGAGATCATCTATAGCTCTTCCCTTCTTCTCTCCTACATTAAACTGGTTGAGTCGTTAATTTCTTCTTTGAAATGAGGTCTTCCTTATCTCACGCCTACCCTGCTGTTGCCATAGCTCCCCAAACGCTCTGTAGGGACCTCCTTTTACATTCCTCCCGACCCCATCATCTCAACATACACCAAGGTTCATTTTCCTCCGTTCCTTCTTTTCTACCCTAGTCACAACTACACTTAAAGTTCTAACTGAAGTCCACCTTTCTTTTGGGAGAACAGAGCTATCTCCTATTGCTCTCCCCTTTCTCTAAACTTGAACAGCACTTACGGACTGTACAGCTCATTTTTTGTTAATCACATACTCCCCTAAACTGTAAGCCCTTAGCACGTAAGCTGCTTTTTATTTCTTCTTTGGTAGACTTTTTTGGCCTAGAAAAGTAATCTAGCTACACACATGTAAATGTTCAGGAAGTATACCTCGAATGAACGAGAGTAAACAAACATCGCAACCTCTCGCGCCTGAGAGGTACAAGAGATTTAAAAGAAAGCAGCCGCCAGGAAACCTGAATTCTAGTCTTGGCTCTCATACTAACTAGAATATGAACGTGGGCAAGTGATTGCCCCTCTCTGGGCATTAGTTTCCTCATCTGCAAAACCGGCTTAGAAGAGACGACTCAGAGGTTCCTTCCAGCATCAGAGATCACTAAGAAAATCGGACTTCATTAAATCAAGCTAGAGGATGAGACCAGGGGTCGGGGTAGGGGTGTCCCTCTGTTGTCGACCGGGCTGTTGGTGGTGGGGTTTCCTTTGTTGTCCCCTAGAGCTCAAGAGCAGCGGGGTGACGGCTGATGTCAGCCGCCAGGGCGGGGACCAGCGCGAAAGGTCGGCCACAGGCCGCACTCGCTGTCAAGTGCCTAAGGACAGCTACCGGGTCACCGGAATGGGCAGTGCGGCGGAGTCCGCCCCGCGCCCGGCCTCTCGGGGATGGCCGGCCGGGGGCACGAGGAGCCTCAGGGGCGGCCATGGGCCAAGAGGGCGGGAAGTTCTCGGCGCCCACTCGCTCACCCGGTTGGGATATTCCTTCTCCACACAGTCCCCACACATCGCGACGCCGTTAACAGGCAAGGCCCTCCAGCGCTTCCGGGAAGACGAAGCATCGCGAGAGCTAAGAGAAGGTTGCCGCATGCGCCCCAAGTACACGACCCTGGAATAGCTGGTCTCGGGGACCATTCGAAGTCTCCGCCCATTAGCAACTGTTGTTAGGGCAGTGCCTGGGCTCCCAGGCAACAACGCTGGGGAGAGAGTTAGACTTCAGAAACCATCCGAGAAAGAGGAAGTGACTGTAGATCACGTGGCAGGAAGCGAAAGGGGATCTTATCTGAGCAAAGTTCTAATAGGCGCCTTCTTGAGTATAGGCTGACAGAAAGACGAGTCACAATACACAAGAAAGGGAATTGTTTCTCGCTGCCTCGGCTTACTCCATATATAAAGCTGAAATTCTAATAATTTAAATGTCTTTCCATACTATTTCTTAGGGCAGTGAGAGTGATAGATCTGATCTCAGCCGTGAATAAGCTATAACTGAAGTGTTTGGGAAGAGGCATTTATAGCTCCGCAAAGAATCTCCTAAAAAGAACGCTGAAGATGTTACTAATGACCATCCCAGAGTCCTCTGGAGAGCATAGCGATGGGAAACGGGTTTCTATCGCTCTATGTGTCACAGAAGCACTTCAGGGGCAGGCAAGCACTATGCCAATAAAAAATGGCCAGGTCAATTATCCCTGCCTCATATCTCTGTCCCGTGGAGCTCAAAATGCTTGTGATTGGTGCCCTACCTCTTTCTTTCCCTCTATATTGAAAGCATCTTACTATTCACAATGATGTGATTAACTTGGTACGAATCCCCAAAATTTGTCTTTATGCTTCTGAAAAACCTGTCTTCATTACACCGAGCTACTTCAATAGAGATATTTAATGGGAACATTGTAACCGAGCAAAAAGGGGCTTGTTCTGCCAGCGGCAATCTGGTGCCAATCAATTGCAAACAAACCGGTGGTTGAGAAAGAAAAATTTATACAATTAGGGAACATAATCAGAAGATGGCACCTTATGTCCTGAAGAACCATCTTAAAATCATACAGAATCTTGAGGCAGTTCTATAAGGGAAATGGGCAGGGAAGGAGGGGATTTAGGGATGTCAACTATCTGTTGTGACGAATTTCAAGGCACCACATTATCTTTTTCTTCCGTCATTTGTGATGGGTACCAATACAGAATTTTCCTTTCTGGAGGTTGTCACGTTCCTGGGGAACTCAGAGAACAAAGTTGTCTTATCGCAGCCCGGAGATATACGTAAGCAAGAGTCATAGAACTAGCAGATAGTCTATTTTGTAAAAGTGAGAGGTGCTTAATCATCTCGGCTACGTGCAGGCTAGAATGTATTCACAGAGACTAGTGAGTCAGGATCATAGGTACAATATTGCTTCTTTTCCCTAAGATGGCTTTGCTTATGTTAACTTAAGATCTAGCTTTACGACATCAGCAAGCATCTTCCCTTAACCCTGCCTTATGGCAGTCAAATCAGTGAAGAAAGATCAGGGAGCGTATGAGACTCTGGGATTCAGATTCTTTAAGAAGAGATTAGTAACCATTTCAAAGCAAGCCAGTTTAACTGGGTTTGCTAGTATAAGAATTCTGTCTCGCTGAAGTATTGAAAGTGTAACCTTTAGTAGTTCAGGCTTTGGTAAGGAGCTGCAACAGTTACTAAAAGTCACAGGTGTGCTAAAGCACTGCAGTGAACGTCAGCGTTCACTCTATTCTTGGAATAATTATAGTGCCTTCCATCTGTATGACATTTTCAAACTTTCAAAGTGTCCCCATTTCAGTTTCTAATTTTATGCTTTTACAGCCCTGTAAGATTGGCAAGAAAGCTACGTCTCCCCTTTTCAATGAGGAAACCAAGGAAATGATTAGTTAAAGGTCTTGTCTATGTAACAAAACTATTCACTAGTCAGCCAGGACTAGGACTTCATTCCTACCCTAAGCTCAACTTCTTTTTAGGCCAGTAGCCAGTAGCCATATATGGCTATAAAGCACTTTTAATGTGGCAAATCTGAACTGAGATGTGTTGTAAGTACATTCTGCACATTAGATTTAGCAGACTTACTATGAAAAAAATATAAAATATTTCATTACTAATTTTTATATTGATTATATGTTGAAATAACTGGGCTAAATAAAAATATATGATTAAAATTAACTTCACTTGTTTCTTTTTTTTAATTTGTCTACTAGAAAATTTAGAATTACACTGGTAGCTTGCGTTATATTTCTTCTGGACAGGGCTAGTCTATAAAATTCTCTCTCTTGATCCATTTTTAAATGCATCCTCTGTTTTTAAAGCCTAATGCTGACTTTTCATTTCACTAACCACTGTATCTATTTTATTCAATTCTATAGACATTGGTTGAGTGCCTTTGCTATGAAAGGACCTGTGTGGATAACAGGAAGATAAAAAAGACATTGTCCTTTCCTACTCTCCAGATATTCCCAATTGAGTCTGAGAGAGACAATGAGCACCCATATGTATAACTACTGGCAGATTGTGGTATAAGAGCACCAAATGGAGAGACTACTTCCAAACAGGGGATTGGGAAAGAGGAATTTGGGCCTTGAAGGATATATAGGACTTCAAAAAGCAGAGTTGTAGTATAGGAATTTCAAATGGACAATGCCAAGGAGTTTGGATTTTATCCTGCAGGTGATAACAAGCCACTGAAAGTTTGAGCAGGAGAGTGATATCAGAGTCGTGGTTTAGGAAGATTATTTTGGCAGCTTTTTATCGAGACTGCTTGGAACTGGAAGAAATTGGACATGCAAAGGCGTACACTAACAGCAACCACAAGGGGGAGATGTATAGCTTTCTGCCTCATGACTAGTACAGAACATGCATGATAAAAAAAATAAGTAAAAAATTACACTGCAGTCAAAGATCTCAAAGAGTAGGTTCTTTGGCATGAACTGATTTCATGTGCTGAGGCATGAAAGACAATCTACATATTTACCAGTGTCTTTTACCTTCCCAGAATGATATAGTATCTCGTTACTAAAATGAGCAAGTGAATAAAAACGTCATTTTATTCATAGGCACAAAAATTCAAGAGCTAATGGTTATTCACTCAGTGGAGTTCTCCATTCAAATCTAACCACATTCAGGGATGAGAGGCTGCAAATGGACTGGCGGGAGGGGGTGGACAGGACCAGAAACTAAAGTGCGATTATGGTAATAGGAATAAGAAAGTCTCTGAGTTTGACACATGGAAGAAAGGAAAATAGAGGCTGCAAAGCAGAAGATTAGCATCTGAAAGGAATGACCAAGTAGTAGCATAAAATAAGCAAAAATAAGTAAAGTTTGCAGGAAGCATTTAAGGATTACCTTCTAATAGAATGTTCTCTATAATAAACATGTGATGTCAATAATGTGTATCAAATATACTCACATGTTGCAGTTTATGCATGAGATTATCTCTTGCTAAAAGGAATGCATTTAGGAAACTCTAAATGTTAATATGGTTCAATTACATATGCTAAACTACATCCCTGGGGTGAGATTAAAGTTTTGCCTTAAGAGTGCAGTTTGAATCTCCTTTTGAAACCTTCCTAGTACCTTTTCCTTTTATGATGCTCCTAAACCAAGAGGCTAGGATGCAGTGCAAGCATACCTATCCTCTTCATCCTTTGTGTAAAGGGTACGGAAGCATCCCAGAGCCTTTATGGGACCACTGTCAAACCAATTTCACAGATGGAGGGAAGCTCATTTTCAGGCAGAAGCTTCTCTCTAAGCCTAAAGCTTATCTGCTTGGTGAAGGTATATGTCATTCTTTCCATCGTCTCAAGGGAAGTGTGAAATAGGAGTGGTTGTGTTTACTTGGTATCACCTGCCTGGGGTGAATGAGTTAGCAGCACTTCTGGGGTAACACTGTGAACACAGCTGAGCCTGGCTGAAGGCAGGTACAACAGAGCTCCCAAAACTTCAGGGTCAGCCTTTTTTTTAGTTCAGTGGCCACGTTGGATTTCCTTCTCTTTAAGGTTCCCATGGCTATTGAGATCATAAATGCCAGCTTTCAAATGTATGGTATTTGAAACCAAGGGAATAGCGACTGTTTCTCTTTGATTCTGTTTTCTTCAGCTCTCACTTTCTTTTCACATACAGATGATCATTTCCACGATATCTGTCAAAATCTCGGTTGTAGTGGCCTTTGGGAAAATATTCTCTCTCAAATCTTACATGTATCGGGATGCAACTGGGTTTTAGATATGCGATTATTTTATTTTCTATTTCTAATGCATGCCCCAAAGGTATAGTAAGACTCAGCAGACTTTTGTTCTCTACCACCTATGTCGACTCTGAGAGGTGAAGAAGTTTGGAATTTTCAGAGAAGCCCAGGGATGAGGAAAGGCAAGTCAAGAGGCTCCTGTTTCATCCTGGAGAAGGGCCAACAGAGGGAGGCCTTATTTCAAGGTGATTCAGGCACAAAATCTGAGGCATCAAGAAGCTTGGGTAGTTTTGAAAAGAGTCGTTTTGACTTGCAGTGGAGAAGGAGTACATAGAAGCTGCAAGGAGTATTTGGGAAATAACATGGTGATTTAAAGTTAAAATTTTAGATTCCAGTCTTAATTGTATCTTAATAACAGTAGGGCTATAAGCAAGTGGCTTATTGGCTGAGCTTCAACTCTCTCTTCTGTAAAATAATGACAATCATGAATATCCCTACCTCAAAGAGTTGCTTTATAAAATGATACACAAATGTTTTAGATATATGAGTATACACATATGCCTCCAGGGTGCTAGGAAAAATACCTCTGTCCATAAGCATGAGGTGGTAAAAGGGAGGATTATAAATTAGGAAAAGGGGATTGGTAATGACTGACAGCCTGCCGGGTGTGTGACTCTGTGTCTAGCTGAGCTGGGTAATACAAGACTGTGTACTTCAACTAATTTGTAAAGGTGGTTTGTGTGCACTTGAAAAGACTGAGTGAGCATGTTGTGTTGGAGAGGACACTGTGGGGGAAGAGTTGTGTTACGGAGGGAAACCACAGGTGATGGAGAGAGAGAGTAAAACGCCGGGCTCCTACCGGGAGCAGACTTGGAAAGTTACCAGAAGGTGCGAAGAGTCAGGGAGCCTTCTGTGTAAGTGCTACCTGGGGCTCCTACCAAATCACAGATTCCTAGTCCGACTTCTGGTTCCTTCTACTTCTTTCTCTTGACAAAATCTTCTTTGCAAACTAATGAGAAACCACATACCAAG